AAATCGAGTGAGCCGTTCCATCAATTTTTTGAAGGAATAAATAAATATTCTTAACAATTTACCATGCTTACAATAATTTTAAAACGTCTGCAAGATCTCAAAGTATTGATTTCTGCAACTCTTGAGTTATTCACTAAAATAAATTGACTGATCCATACATTTTTTGAGTCACTAAAAGCAAATATAAAAAATATGAATGCATTGATAAATTACGAAAATATACTGATGATATTTTGCACATTTTAGATAGGACTTATTCGGTAAAATCTTGAGATGACGTCATCAAGTTTTTGGGCTTGATAAACAGATACATTTTGATTAAAAACCTACCATGTCAAACAGTAATCAATAAAATAAATTGACTCAGTTTTTAATTTTTTTGAGACACCCCCTATAAGCAAAACTAAAAAATATGAATGGAATGATAAATCATAAGTATAGTCTCATCCCATTTCGGACATTTTAGATAGGATTCATTTGGCAAAATTTTGGGATGACGTCATCAATTTTTTGGAGGGGATAAGTAAATATATTTTGAATAAACATTTATTATGCTTATCATATGTTTAAAACATCTGCAAGATTTCAAAGCATTCGGTTTTGCAGATTCAAAATTAAATTGTAGGTGAAACGAAGTTCACGGGGTCAGCTAGTCTAGTACCAACTAACTAATTTGCTATATATCTGCCATATAATATCTGTGGTTTCGTCAACAACAAAGAAAATAAAGTTATTTTGCAAACGTGTCTTAATTTAAGCAACATTTTCGATATAACATTTATCTACAGTTGTTTTTCTGAGAGTGATTTCGTCTGGAATGGTCCTTTTACAGTATTTTTCCAAAAATGAATTAAACGTAGGATTACTAAACTTATTTAATGGAATATTCAAGGCAAGCATAGCCTGGCATAAATCGAAATTGTATGTTTCCTCTTCATTTTTGGCTGTATTACTTAGCAGATAACGTTTCTCGTATTGATGTTTGAGATACACTGGTTGAGATTCTTTTTTCACTATTTCTTTTGTAAAGAGCCAAAAGAAAGACATAATTTATGTAAGAGATGCCTATTATTCACATTGAATAATATGCAAAACATATTTTTTATTTGATTCTCTTAGATTTTAGTCTAAGGACTGAAAATATATTTTAAAAAACTTATTGCTTTGGCGCAAGGTTTGCAAAAAACGCCATCTCCATCTAGAACCAACTCTGAGTAAGGCCGAATCCACGATGATAGTTTGGAAGACATTTTTTTAACTATTCGTAATATCACTGCTCTATCGCCAAGTTCGTAGACAATGATGATTGAATTTGGAAATCGAAGAATGAAATACTTACATTACGTTCTCCATCTCTTCCAATCCCTCGTTAACATTTGTAGAACTATCAGAAAAAATTTAAAAAATGCACAAAAATGCACTTAACCCCAATTTAATTCACTCTACTTGCATTGCCCACGGTTTAAACAGAGTGGCTGAAGGAATACGTTTGCAGTTTCCTACTGTTAATAAATTAGTGGCAAATGGTAAAAAGATTTTTGTTAAGGCCCCACTAAGATTGCAACATTTTAAGGAAAAATTTCCAAACATACCATTGCCCCCAGAGCCGATTATAACGAGGTGGGGAACATGGTTGCAGGCCACATTTTATTATGACAAATATATCAAAGAATTTGAAGAAGTAATTGCGGAGTTTAGCGAAGATTCTTCTCAATCGATTAAAGATTGCATAAATATTTTGGAAAACAAAGATTTGCGACAAGATCTAACTTTTCTAAGAAGCAATTATCAATTCGTATGTGAGGTAATAGAAAAGTTAGAAAAACCCAACATGTTGTTGGTAGATGCCATAAACTTAGTGAAAGAATTTAAACAACAAGCAAACGCAGTAAGCGGTGATATTGGTACTAGAGTATCTCAAAAACTTGACGAAGTGTTAAATAAAAATGCAGGTTTCGGTGTTCTTTCCGACGTTGCTCGTGTTTTACAAGGCCAGAAGGTGGAAAATTTGAAGTTAGAGTCAACATTAGTTGCAAAATTCAAATTTGTGAGTGTGGATGTTGAACGCACATTCTCCAATTTTAAACACATTTTAAATGATCGGCGAAAAAATTTTACAGTGGACAACTTGGAACATATTACAATCATAAACTGTTTTAAAGAAAACTGAAATACGTGTGTAAAATATAAAGTGACTTTACAATAAATTAAAAACATGTTTTTGAGTATCGTGTTGTTCAAAGAATACTATGTATATTAAGAAAAAAGGCAAAATATACATGATCATGACAAACAGCCTTTTTTTCCTTAATATCCGTGGTCTTCTTTTCGGAACAAGAAATTTAAAACATGTTTCAAATGGTAAATTTTTGTAGAGAAATATCTATTTTATAATTACACTCCGCCGCTCGGTCTGACAACGAACGAAAAACTCGTCACAATTAAGATAGGGCGGGGGGGGGGGGGATAGGTGTATATATTTTTATTATTTTTTTTTTTAATATAGGTAGTCTTCTTTTCACAATAAGAAATTTAAAACATATTTAAGATGGTAACTTCTTATCGTGAAATATGGATTTTGGAAATATGCTCCGCCCCTAAATCAAAATCAAAATCCGTGAAAATAAAACACTAGGGGCCCTAGAGATTCTTTCAAAATTTTCCAAAAATAGAACACCGAGGGCGCCCGAGATTCTTACGTTTTCTTCAAACAATAAAATCAGCCCTTTATTGTCTTAGAGGGTATGTCATTTACCAAAATCAGTCGTATCTCGGCAAGTACTAGCCCCACCCACCCGCCCTTTATTTTCTTAGAGGGTATGCCATCTGCCAAGATCAGTTTTATCTTGGCAAGTGCTAGCCCCACCTACCCGCTCTTTATTTACTTAGAAGGTATGTCATCTGCCAAAATCAGTTTTTCTTGGCAAGTACTAACCCCGCCTACCCGCCCGTTATTTTCTTAGAGGATGTGTCATCTGCCAAAATCAGTTTTACCTTGGCAAGTACAAGAAACTTAAATTTTTGTAGAGAAATATCGCTTTAACAATTACGCTCCGTCCCTCGAACTGACAACGAATGGAAAATTCGTCACAATTGAGAATTCAGATCGGACTGGCTTATTTTTTTTGTTAATATAAATAGTATTATTTGAATAACACAATACTCAAAAACATGTTTTTAATTTCTCGTGGAGAAATAAGGATTTTGCAGCTAAACTCCGTTTTCTTGGCTCGCGACGAATAAAAAAATCATCAGAATAGGGATAGGGCGGGTGGGCGGGGCTTATATTTTGCCTTTTTTTCTTCTTATTTACATAGCCATCTTTTCATAACAAGAAACTTAAAACATGTCTAAAATGGTACATTTCTGGAAGGAAATATGGATTTTGCACTTATGACTCCTTGTTTCACTCTAAATTTTTTTGATTGTTTTCTTCTCTCTTCTCACATAGTTCCACGTTTTGCTATATAGGCTCTTTGTACCCTGGATGAGTTTACCGGTGACTTGTCTCCTCTCTAAACTCTGCCAAATTATTCGCCTAGGTACGTTATCGAACGGCTTTGTCAGATCCAAAAATGCCATATATATTTCGCTGCTCTTTTCCCTACTTTTTAATAATCAGCTGTTTAATAGTAAATACATGGTCCTGTGCGCGTCATTCCTTTCCAAAGCTGCACTGCTCTTCCTCGAGATTAAGTTCTAGCACCTTTCTTAGTCTCTTATCCATTATTCGCTTTTGATCATTGCTGCTGTAATTTTGTCATGTCCTGCCGATTTCCCATTTTTTATTTCTCTGATCGCTTCCATAACTTCTTCAGTCTCAATTTTCTCTTCATCTGCCCTTTCTTTTGTACCAAAATTGATCCATTCTAATTCTTTTGCTTGCATAACATTCTTTTTTAGAATCTCTCTTTGTTCCTTATTTTCATTATAATTTTCTTCGTTTTTATTATTTAGATACTTCCTCCATTTCTCTTTTTATTATTTTCATTTGTTTCTTTGTTTCTTCATTTCACCAGCTTGTTTGTTTTTTCCTCTTATCTATTTTTGTTATTTCACATACTTCTCTTGCTGATTTGAATTCCGACTACATTTGTTTTACACCTATCTTGTCCTACTCTTCATCTTTTCCTGCTATGCTGCTGTCTCTAGTTTTTCCTTGTATCTGTCGACCACTTCTTTTTTCGCCAGATTATATGTTTTATCACTTCTTGTGGTTTCGGGCTGTTGTTTTGTTGTGTCTTGCGCTTTGTTGTGTTTCCTTGTATCTAGTACCTCTTTCCTATGTTCCCTGTTTATTGACATATCGTCTATGATTGATTTTTCGTCTCCACTACGTACTTCTCCTGTGTACATGTATATCTGCTTGTGCTCAAAAAAGGTAGGTATTCATAATTACAAAATTATTGTCCACGCAGAAGTTTATTATTATTTTTCGTTTATATTTTTTTGTTCCTCCCCGTACCTTCCCATTACTCCTGTTGTCCTGTTGCTTTTACTTCTCACCCTGACATTTAGGTCCCCCAAAATGATTGTTGGCCCGCCCAAATTTTCCACTCCATCTGTTAGTTCATTCCAGAATTCCTCTTTTTTCTCAGTTTTTTCGTCCACATTAGGTCCATATCCTTCTTGACAATGCATCCCACTCCTTCTCTTGCCCTCATGTCTTTGTTTGTTTTTTTTTCCGGTTGTGCTTTGTGTCGCTGTGCCGACTTTAGTAACAAGTCAATTAAATCAAAACTACTTGATTACGTTTATTTCATAAACAAAAAACAAGCCATAAAAATAGTTTTTCAACACAATAGGTACATGAAGTAAGTATTTTAAGTCCAAGCCTAAAACATTTGTTCCAGACCTTTACAGCATTTTTTGATAATATATTCCTACCACAAATCTAAACCTACACTTAACCAAGAATGAATCATATTAACCAGCACCAAGTTCTAAATTTCCCTTCTACCCGCAAAGATACTTAATTTACATACAGTCACAGTTTCTTCTTATTCTTTTCTCCTTATCTCAAAAGAACATTTGAAACCATCACGTGGTCTCAAAATGAGTTTAGTAAACAACTTAATTTCGTCGACCGTTTTGTATTCAGTACGAAATCGAAATTTTCTGACAAGAATGGCTAGTATGGTTTTGAGTGCCATTTGTCCGTACTTCTGACCGATGCAATTCATAGGTCCTGCAGAAAACGGTATGTAGGTAAAAGGATGCCTGTTGGTGGCTCTCTCTGGTAAAAACCTATCCGGGTCGAATTTGAGAGGGTCCGACCAATATTCGGCACTTCTATGAACTTGGACTACTCCCAGTAGTAGCAGCGAACCTTTTGGAAGCGTTATATCCTCTGCAAAAGTCATTTAATAACGAGATGTATAATGCGCACGGTACTACCATCGAGAGATAAGTCTTCAAGGACTTCTCTTGCCATAAAGGGACAAACGGGGAACAGTCTGAAGGTTTCCTTAATTACCAATTCTGTGTACTTAAGAGAAGGTAAGTCCTGAAAATCCGGCGTTCTTTCAGGACCCAAAACGCTACGAACCTCTTCATAGACGCGATTTTGCATGTCCGGGTACATCGCCAACATGGTAATAACAAAACAAGTCGCAACGGCCGTGGTATCGAAGGCCTACGAACACAAGTGAGATGGAGAAAACTTGAGAATTTGATTTACAGCAACTACGAAGGTTTTGATTTGGTCCACAATCTCGTCTGTTGTGAGTTCGCTTCCACTAGTGGACACATCAAGCAAAAAATCGAGCAGAACTGGAGACTCAGATTTGACGCTTCTGTCCTTGTTTTTGACGATTTCTTTTATAAAAAGGTTGTACTTATTTACAAATACCTTGGTTTCTTTAGACAACGTCGTCCACTTGAAAATGAAATCGTAGTGGTACCAAAATTTATGAAGTCGATAGAGCGTCATCTCCAACAACCTGTAGGAGTGTAGGCTGATGAAATTAAAACGAAAAGCAATACTTACTTATCTGTCCATTCTGCCACTTCTGATTCTCCTTCTTGTGCATTGATCTCAACACCCATCATGGTTTCTGAAACGACAAAAGTAGTACCTGATTTCTTACACTAAGTTTTGGCTGGTACCACAAGTGATATCCAGTGTACATCTGCTGACTATCTGAAATAAATCCACGTCGTGTCTACCGACGTACTTTTCAAAATGTTCGCCCAAAACGATAGATTGTTTTGCAAAGACTTCAACAAAGTGATCAAGGTTTTTTCGATTGAAAATCGGGTTTATCATTTTGCGGTGGCGTTTCCATACAGACACTACAATCCACAATTAACATTTAAATCAAAAATTCGATTTCATACTTGGAGCTGAAAATAGTCCACTTCCCACGAAATCACGACCAATTTTTCTGTACAGGTGTATTCTGGAATTGGTGTTTGGACTTGTGAGTACTTTTTCTAAATATTCAGGTTTGATAATACCGTAGACAAGAATTGGCCCAAGCCACGCTTTTGTAATGTCCGTGCAAAACTCGAGGTGTTCTGAAACTTTGTCATAAATTTCTAAAAGTTGATAATACAATAGTGACAAAAATGAGTGTGTAGACGAGTGGTACCGTTAGCATTGCCTCTAAAATCGAAGAGGTTACCAACCACGGGCCAACCTTTTAAACCTGGTACTTTGCTAGCGTGGTGGTAAAGGTGACGTCTCTTCCAACGGTAATGTAGACACAAAATTAGAAGAATCACTAGGGAGTGAACTTTTTGTTTGAACTTATTTCTTTACGCCAAATATTGTTAAATATACTCACACAACAATGCAGAATACATGATTTTGAGTTGGAAACAATTCTTTTACTGTCGTCGTTAGGTTTTCTTGTCAGTTGTGTTACCTTTTCAAGGCGACAATAACAATGTTAAAGAACAATTGTGATAAAACCAGGTTTGAAAACAATAAAAATACAAGACAAAAATGTTATACTTGGTAACAATAATGCATTAGATAAACACTAAGTGTAAATGTGTGTGCGGTACAGTTGTTAAAATAGATTTAAAACAATTTAGGTGGTCTGAGATAATCTTGGACATTATGGACAAGTTTTGACTATGTGAACTGAGAACTCCTAAATCTAATTACAAAAGGTTAACTACGAAAAATTGTTCGAAAAATCGCCCGTTGAACTGAAAAATGGTCTGTTTTATACAATATTGCATGTCCTAAATTGTTACTTCAACCGTTTTCATGTTTTTGTATTGTTTGATTATTATTGAAACAACAAATGTCATACTTCTACTTTATTTTTTACACAAAATTTCTTCAGTTTCAGTTTCTTTACCAATTCATGGCCGAAGGATTAAATTTGATAATGCAAAAATTTATAGATAAAACAAACCTTGTTGTTTCCAGTTTAACACAATAACAATTTTATGTTTTAGTAAAATATCTAACGGATAAACGTTAAGTAGTGACATCAACTATTTACAAAACGTTAACTATTTAGTTAGTTCCTTAGTTAATTTTACCTAAGGAAAAATTGTTCAAAAAATCGCATGCTTGATAGAAAAGTATTCTATTCTGCGCAGCCAACAGCCATCTGAGCGATAAATTTTTCTTCGAGATAAATTCAAGCCTGAGTAACAACAATGTAAGCCCGCCCACCCGCCCTATTTCAATTGTGACGATTTTTTTTATTCGCCCTTAACTAAGAGGGCGGAGCTTAACTACAAAATACTTATTTCTTTACAAGACATTAAAAACATGTTTTTGAGTACCGTGTTGTTCAAAGAATACCACGCAAATTAAGAAAAAAAATCAAAATATAAACACCGCCCACCCACTCCATCGCAATTGTGATGATTTTTTTATCGTTATAAAATTGAAACACGTTCAAAATGGTAAATTTTTGTAAGGAAATATGGATTCTGCAATTATGGGGCGGAGCCTAACTGCAAAACCGATATTCCCTTATACAATTTTTTCATTTTAAACACGTTTTAAATTCCATATTGGGAAAAGAAGTCTACACATATTAAAACAAAAAGGCAAAATACAAGCCCGCCCGCCCGCCCTATCTCTATTGTGATGATTTCTTTTATTCGCTGTAAACCAAGGGGGCGGAGCTTCACTGCAAAATACTTATTTCTTTACAAGAAATCACAAACATATTTTTGAGTATCGTGTTGTAATGCTATGTATATTAAGAAAAGAAGCCAAAATATAAACCCTGCACACCCACCCCATCTCAAATGTGATGATTTTTTTATTCTTAGAAACTTAAAACATGTTTAAAATGGAAAATTCTTGTAGATAAATATCTATCTATCGCAAACACTGCCGCACAGCACCTCTGCATTACAAACATGCCCTACGAGCAGGGCGTTACGGTCGCAAATTCTTGGTTGGGTCCCGGCTATGGACAGAAGCCGAGAGCGTCACGTTATCCCCTGACTTCCATTCTAAGCTCAACAAGAAACCGCGCACTCCGCTTCTGCCACATATTATTGCATTATTTACCTCAATTCCATTTAAATGTTCAATCTTTATAACTCTAACATTAAACTACAACTACAAGTGTTAAAGTTCCAAAAAGAAGCAGTCAACAACATTTAAATTCGTCATATACTCGAAATTTTACACAGCAAAGAATTCTTATCTGAGATCTTTAAGATTTGACATCAGACAATTTATATGATAGAAACATTAATCAACAAAATATTTGCATAAAAAAAGACTAGCAACATTTTATAAAACAAAAAAAAAACAAAGTTACGTTCAATTTAAAATATACAACAAAGAAAATTACTGAAGTTAAAATTGTGAGATAAAGAAAAATTGCAAAGCTTACAAATTTACATGAGATTACTATTTTGTGTCCATTCCAACATTGGTTAAATTAATAAAGAAAACATGCTTAGAATGGTAAATTCTTGTAGACATATAGCACAAATATGACTTGTATTGTTAATGTAGGTCGGGATGAAATACCAAGCCAACTTTATAATCTTGGAGGATTCAAGTTCTTCAGGAGTAATAAAGTGTATTTAATTAAAGATTAAATGATGAATTTTGTATACTTACATGATGTTGGACAATTTTTTCTAAATGAAATATGGAAATTCCAAGAAAATAACCTCATAATAGTCAAAGCAAATAAGGGACAAACTATCACCATAATGACAAAAAGCATGTACATCGATAAAGTGGAAACCTTCATAACAAAATAAGGCTTCAAGAACATAAAAAAATAACCCACTAAATAGTTAGACGACAAAAGAACTAAATGAAAGCAAATTTTTCGTCAAAATGAACCCGAAAATGTCAAAACTCTATGGACAACCAAAGAGCCATAAAGTGGGAACACCCATTTGTCCATTAGTCTCAAGCATTGGTAGCCCAGCCTACAATCCCAGCTGAAAAAACTCCAAAATTGCTTGAAAAAGAACTTAAAACTAGTAATCTCAACCAAAATCAACAAAAGGATACATTAGAGTTGACAGAAATATGTACAAAACAAAATTTTTGCCAATTTAAGGACACAATATTATATTAGTTAAGTATGGGATGTCCCTAGCTCCAGTCTAAGCGGACATATTCACCGGAGAGGCAAAAAAACAAATCAATTTTTGGTTTAAATACGTTGATGATATAATTGCTAAATGGAAACATCCATCCAAATTTCAAGCTCACTACAGAAATAGAAGAACAGAAGAAAATAATTTTCCTTGATCGCACACTAGAAAGAAATAACGAACAAATAGACTTGAAAATCTACAGGAAGAGCACTCACAGAACACACAACAAAAACAAAGTATTCAGCGTTCCATAAACATATCATCGGACAAAATCAAGACATTGACCTGCAGAACACGAAATTGGTCCACATTCAAAATAAAGGGATACAACTCAAGCTCCTAGAAGCCTTGGAACTCTATCAGTCAAAAAAAGAGCCACTTAAAGTACAAGAGGTTTGAAAATCGCGCCAATTTTCAAACTCCTCATCTAACGTAATGATTCAAAAATCACTAACTAAAATCTAGGGTGTTCTATGTACAGAGTCATCAAAATTGATTGAGAGAGTTGGTACTCCCTGTTTTTGCCGTGAAGTTTGTCAACCTCATGGCAGATTTGTTTAAGGTTATGTGGCAATGAATTCAGTGGCGTGACAAGAGAACTGGGGGTTGATTGTAGAACTCACCTGAATCAGTTGCGGATACGAAAGTTATCTTCTTGCAAAGTTGCGAACGATTTTAACGTTTGTACGAATCGCCTTGGTCGATGCGCACCAAGGTTATAGGATTGATACTCGCATATTAGGAAACGCAATCGAACAAATCTAAAATTCGAAACTTCAAATCTGACAACTAATATTTTTTACCAAAAAAAATCGAAAAAAGACGCCACTGAGTTTTGAAATTTGAAACTTCAAATCTAACAGCTAATATTTTTATACAACTTAATAAACCAAATTATTCAAGTTCAGGTATACCAACTCTCTCAATCAATTTTGATGACCCTGTACAACTTTAGAAGAAAAACGCAAAAAATCTTGGAATGAATTTTAACAATTAATTTCATTTCATAATTTAACAACATACAAACATTGTAAAAGGAAAAATATCCAACGACTGCAAAATCCAAGTAAAAATAGTTGGGTTAGGAACACACAAATCGTAGTGACGGTACGTTAATTTCAGATAACCTATAATTAATTGAAAATATGGAATGTTTTAGTCAAAAATTGGTGAAATACATATGCAATGAGCTAGTATTTGCTAAAATAAGACTTATTTTCATAAATCACACACCCTCTAAAAAATAAAAGGCGGGTGGGCGGGGCTAGTACTTGCTAATATAAGACTGATTTTGGCAAATGACATACCGTCTGAGAAAATAACTTTTATTTCGACCTATTACAGCAAATTTGATAACATAATCCAGTCAACCAACACCAAATTCTAAATTTCATTTCTACCGACATAGATAGTACATATAGTGACAGTTTCTTCTTATTCTTTTTTCCTCATCTCAAAAGAACATTTGAAACCATCACGTGGTCTCACAATGAGTTTAGTAGTCAACTTGATTTCGTCGACCGTTTTGTATTCAGTACGAAATTGAAATTTTCTGACAAGAATGGCTACGATGCTTTTGAGTGCCATCTTCCCGTACTTCTGACCGATGCAATTCATAGGTCCTGCAGAAAACGGTATGTAGGTAAAAGGATGCCTGTTTGTGGCTCTCTCTGGTAAAAACCGATCCGGGTCGAACTTGAGAGGATCTGCCCAATATTTGGTACTTCGATGAACGTGGACTACTCCTAGTATTGCCAAGGAATCTTTTGAAAGGGTTATATCCTCTGCAAAAGTCATTTAATAACTAGATATATGATGAGCACGGTACTACCATCCAGAGATAAGTCTTCTAGGACTTCTCTTGCCATAAACGGGCTACCAGGGAAAAGTCTGAGGGTTTCCTTAATTACCAATTCCATGTATTTAAAAGAAGGTAAGTCCTTAAAATCCGGCGTTCTTTCAGGCCCCAAAACGCTAACAACTTCTTCATAGACGCGATTTTGAATGTCCGGATGCATCGCCAACATGGTAATTACAAAACAAGACATAACGGCCGTGGTATCGAAGGCCTACGAAAACAAGTGAGATGCAGAAAACTCGATAATTTGATTTACAGCAACTACGAAAGTTTTGATTTCGTCTACAATCTCGTCTGTTGTCAGTTCGCTTCCACTAGTAGACAAATCAAGCAAAAAATCGAGCAGAGCTGGAGACTCAGATTTGACGCTTTTGTCCTTGTTTTTGATAATTTCTTTTATAAAAAGGTTGTACTTGTTTACAAATACCTCGGCTTCTTTATGTAACGTCGTCCACTTGAAAATGAAATCGTGGTGGTACCAAAATTTATAAAGTCGATAGAGCATAATTTCCAACAACCTGTGGGAGTGTGGTAGATGAAGTTAAAACGAAAAGCGATACTCACTTATCTGTCCATTCTGCCACTTCTGATTGTTCTTCTTGTACATTGATCTGGACACCTATCATGGTTTCTGAAACGACAAAAATAGTACCTGATTTGTTACACCAATTTTTTACTGGTACCACAAGTGATATCCAGCGTGCCTCTACTGATTATCTGAAACAAATCCACGTCTTGTTTCCCGATGTACTGTTCTAAATGTTCACCCAAAATGGTAGACCGTTTTGCAAACACTTCAACAAAGTGATCAAGGTTTTTTCGACTGAAAATCGGGTTTATTACTTTGCGGTGGCGTTTCCATATAGACACTACAATCCACCATTAGCACTAAATAAAAAAAAATGATTCCGTACTTGGAGCTGAAAAAAGTCCGTTTCCGCCGAATTTGCCAATAATTGTTCTGTACAAGTGTACTCTGGAGTTGGTGTTTGGACTTGTAAGTACTTTTTCTAAATATTCAGGTTTGACAATACCGTAGACAAGAGTTGGCCCAATCCATGCTTTTGTAATGTGCGTGCAAGAATCAAAGTGTGCTGAAACTTTGTCATAAATTTCTAAAAGCTGATAGAGTAGTGACAAAAATTAGTGTGTGGACGAGTGGTACCGTTAGCATCGCCTGTAAAGTCGAAGAGGTTACCAACCACGGGCCAACCTTTTAAACCTGGTACTTTGCTGGCGTGGTGGTAAAGGTGACGTCTCTTCCAGCGGTAATGTAGACACCAAATTAGAAGAATTACTAGGAAATGAACTTTTGTTTAACTACATATTGTTAAAAACGCCGAAAACATGTTTTTAAATTGTAAACAGTTCTTTTACTGTCGGCGTTAGGTTTTCTTATCAGTTGTATTACCAATTCAAGGCCTAAATAACAATGTTAAAGAATAATTGTGATAAAATCAGTCTCGAAAACAATACTTCCAAACCAATTAAACATTTACAGAAATTACATACACTAAATTGTCAACCGCTTACATATTTTTTGGTTTGTAAAACGACAAATATAATATATTATTTTTTACGCCAATTTCTAAACCAATACTACAAGCGATATTCAGGGTGTATTTACGAAATATCCGAAATAGTAATATATACTTACACAACGATGCAAGCAACATGTTTTCACCCTCGAAGAAGTTCTGTTACTGTCATCGTTAGACTTTCTTGTCGGTTTCGTTACCAATTAACTCACGGCCGAGGAATTAAATTTGTTAATTACAAAACTTATTGATAAAGCAACCTTGTTATTCGCAGTTTTACACAATAACAATTTTATGTTTTAGCAAAATAACTACCTAATAGATAAACACTAAGTGAAATAAACTAGGAATTTACAAAAACTGTTTAATTACCCAGAGCCAAGAATTTGTTGTAAACAACTTTGGGTAAATTATGAAAATCTAGAAGCAGTGATCATTTTGTAGCAAAAATTATGCAAAACTTGACATTGATATTTTACCTCTGAGACATTGTAAAGGAAATGAAATGAATGGTAAACCACAGAAATTAAGATAAATCTTTTCCAAAATTCTTGATATTATAATTATAATCAAATACAATTAGACGTCTGTTGTAGAAGAATTACACATTTCTTAGGAACAACGAAGATTAGCTCTTGCTTGTTGAAAACTAGAAAAACCAAATTTTGACATGATTTCTTTCATCTCACAGGAATATTTGAAATAAAATAAAGCTGCATCAAGTCATCTAGCCCATTGTCTAATGACAGGTTTAGAACGCAAATATCTTTATATACTTGTAGTGTTAAAGGAGCCTTAACAAAACCTTTTTCATGTTATTAATTAATTCATTTACCAATGGAAATTGATTTCGTACTTCTTCCTCTATTCTCTTTGACCATATATTATGATGCAGCATCAGAAAGCATTAATACGACTTTATTAAATGGTGTACCTACTAACTGGTGGTGCCCATAATTGAAGTCTTGGAAAAACCCGTCCGCATTACTAGGAAAGGTCGGTACTTATTCACCTGCATACTGACAATAACCAACTATATTAAAATTGTATTAATATTAAGGTTTCCACCAATTACTACGAAAAACGCAGAAAAAATTTTAAAATATGCATTAAAATGCAGTTAACATTAAAATATGCAATAAATGCAAAAAATAGTTAAAGATGCAGAATATGCAAAACTATGCATTTTCCATATTATCCGACCCTTATTCATCACTAAAAATTGAAGGGTACACGGGATTAACGATCAAAGTCACAATTTATAAATATCGAGAAAAATGAATTTTAAAGTTTGAAACCCAATAGATTCAAAACAACACAACAATTTAGTATTATTGTTTAATGTGAAACTTATTAATTAATAATAACACACAAAGGGTGGACAAACAAACTTAGTAATTGACTTAAACAAAAATAAATATATAATTCTGGAAAAAGTGTATTATGTGTATTATCTTCCTAAGGATACCATATGTTAAGCCCTTTTTTCTGCTGACTACGATCGTTTTTTGAATTATTTTAATTTATACTACTGTAGTATTTAGCATTTCCTACAAGATGGCAGTCTTATCTCAATTTGATAAAAAAATGGACTTTGATCGTTATTCCCGTGTACGCTTCAATTGTGTTTTGCTCCAATTCTCTATTCTCAAATCAATTGCAAAATTCTAATCTTCGTGGGAAGTCCACTATTAATAGTCCTTGCACCGCTAAAATATCTTTAGACTTCCAAATCTTTACGTAAAAGCTTGTGGATAGTTTCAACAGAAAGATTAATTTGCTGATGTAATTGACGTATCGACGTTTTTTGTGTTTCTTCCATTATTTCTGCAGCATATATCGATATTTCCCTATACAAATTTTCCGTTTTAAACATGTTTTAAGTTTCATGTTGTGAAAAGAAGTCTACACATATTAAAACAAAAAGAGCAAAGTGTAAGCCCGCCCACCCGCCCTATCTCAATTGTGATGATTTTTTTTATTCGCCATTAACCAAGAGGGCGGAACTAAACTGCAAAAAACGTATGTCTTTATAAGAAATTAAAAATATGTTTTTGAGTATCGCGTCTGGGGAAATGTGGGTCGAGACGAAATACCAAGCCAACTTTATAATCTTTCGACGCCACATCACAATAATTCTTTTGCTCTTCCGTCCTAATGTTCTAAAACGACTTTGGCAAATTCGTCTGTCTCTCATACTTCTAACAACATAACCAGCATAAAGGTAGGATGAAATTTATCATATTATGTTAATTTGTTTTTAAGATTAGAAAATCTGACAAAAACTGTGTCACTGTTGCCAATAATTTCACACTTTTTATTTTCTATATCGCTTCTGCAGGCTTCTTGTGCTTCATGAGTGTTCATTCTAGATCAAAATTTCCAATACATGGATTAAGAGACAAAAGGCAAACTGTATGCGTTTACAGCTATTTCAACAATATCCAAAAGGTAACCGTCCTCAGATCAAAAATAAACTGTAATAAAGTGTATCTAATTAAAGACTAAATGACGAATTCTGTATAAGTAGGTATATGGTGTAGGACATTTTTTTCTAAATAAAATATAGAATGCTTTAGTCAAAAATTTGTGAAATACATATGCGACGAGCTAGTATTTGCTAAAATAAGACTGATTTTGGCAAATGCTATACCTTCTAAGAAAATAAAGGGAGGGTGGGCGGGGCTGGTATTTGCTAAGATAGGACTGAATAATATTAAGAGCAGTCACTAGAATGAAGAGGAGATGTAGAAGAAAGCTAAACTTAGCCTCGCCCACTTCTTCCTTGTTTCGTCGAGGTTCACGAATGTTAAATGCCCACAAGGATTTTGCATTTGGGGGATTTTTCTCAGAAAAGTAATTGTTACTGCAACAACATGTTTCTGTTACCTCCCCATGTTTGTAACCCATCGAAATGAGAATTTTGTACAAGGTTGTTGCCCCTCCTTTAAATACCAAATGTCAATGGGTTTTTGTTTACCAGAAGTTAAAATTTTCAAATTTTCACGTTTAGCGATGACAATTTTCTCTGTAATGTGTTTCATGTATTCTCCTGGACAAGGCAGCGTCTCATTCACGCACTTTAAAAAATACCTACACTTCTACAAAAAAACCTGTAATTAATAAATACGTAATAAATAACTGTTATTTTTATAAACGCAAAAACAGTTTTTCGACACAGTAAAAATATATGAAGATTTCCAAGATCTAAGCGTAAAGCCTTTATTTCAGCAATAATACAGCAATTTTTGAAAACATAATCGTACCACAAAAACTAACCCTAGAATCAACCACGCCGCTGAATCCAATCAACAAAGACCAATTTCTAAATTTCCCGTCTACTGGCATAGATATAGTGACAGTTTCTTCTTATTCTTTTTTCCTCATCTCAAAAGAACATTTGAAACCATCACGTGGTCTCACAATGACTTTATTGGTCAACTTGATTTCGTCGACCGTTTTGTATTCAGTACGAAATTGAAATTTTCTGACAAGAATGGCTACGATGGTTTTGAATGCCATTTTTCCGTACTTCTGACCGATGCAATTCATAGGTCCTGCAGAAAACGGTATATAGGTAAAAGGATGCCTGTTGGTGGCTGTCTCTGGTAAAAACCTATCCAGGTCGAATTTGAGAGGATCCGACCAATATTCAGCACTTCTATGAACTTGGATTACTCCCAGTAGTAGCAGCGAACCTTTTGGAAGCGTTATAACCTCTGCAAAAGTCATTTATTAACGAAATGTATAATGCGCACGGTAGTACCATCGAGACATAAGTCTTCAAGGACTTCTCTTGCTATAAAGGGAAGAACGGGGAATAGTCTCAGGGTTTCCTTAATTACCAAGTCTGTGTACTTAAGACAAGGTAAGTCCCGAAAATCCGACATTCTTTCAGGACCCAAAACGGTAAGAACTTCGTCATAGACGCGTTTTTGAATGTCCGGATGCATCGCCAACATGGTAATAACAAAACAAGACATAACGGTCGTGGTATCGAAGCCCTACGAAAACAAGTGAGATGCAGAAAACTCGAGAAATTGATTTACAGCAAGTACGAAAGTTTTTATTTCATCTACAATCTCGTCTGTTGTCAGTTCGCTTCGATTAGCAAACAAATCCAGCAAAAAATCGAGCAGAGTTGGGGACTCAGATGTGACACTTTTGTCCTTGTTTTTAATAATGTCTTTTATAAAGAGGTTGTACTTGTTTATAAATTCCTCGCCTTCGTTATATAACGTCGTCCACTTGAAAATGAAATCGTAGTGGTACCAAAATTTATAAAGTCGATAGAGCATAATTTCCGAAAACCTGTGGGAGTGTGGGTGGATGAAGTTAAAACGAAAAGCAATACTTACTTATCTATCCATTTTGCCACTTCTGATTCTCCTTCTTGTGCATTGGTCTGAACACCCAACATGGTTTCTGAAACGACAAATGTAGTATTTGATATCTGACACTAATTTTTGACTGGTACCACAAGTGATATCCAGATTGCATCTCTTAACTATCTGAAATAAATTCACGTCGTGCATGCCGACGTACTTTTCTAAATATTCACCCAAAGCGGTAGACTGTTTTGCAAACACTTCAACAAAGTGGTCAAGGTTTTTTCGATTGAAAATCGGGTTTATCATTTTGCGGTGGCGTTTCCATACAGACACTACAATCCACCATTAATACTAAAAAAAAATAGTCGGTATCATACTTGGAGCTGTCAAAAGTCCATTTCCCACGAAATCACGACCAATTTTTTGTACAGGTGTATTTTGCAATTGGTGTTTGGACTTGTAAGTACTTTTTCTAAATACTCAGATTTGACAATACAGTAGACAAGAATTGGCCCAACCCATGCTTTTGTAATGTGCGTGCACGAATCAAAGTGTGCTGAAGCTTTGTCATAAATTTCTAAAAGTTGATAGTAGAGTAGCGGCAAAAGTGAGTGTGTAGACGAGTGGTACCGTTAGCATCGCCTGTAAAGTCGAAGAGGTTACCAACCACGGGCCAACCTTTTAAACCTGGTACTTTGCTGGCGTGGTGGTAAAGGTGACGTCTCTTCCAGCGGTAATGTAGATACCAAATTAGAAGAATTACTAGGACATGACCTTTTTGTTTAAACTTATTTCTCTACGCTACATATTGTTAAATATATTTACAAAACTTAAATTAGAAACAGTTCTTTTACTGTCGTCGTTAGGTTTTCTTATCAGTTGTATTACCTATTCAAGGCCAAAATAACAACGTTAAAGAATAATTAAGCGGTCTCGAAAACAATACTTCCAAACCAACTAAACATTTACGAAAAAAACGTGGTCTGATTTATTGCATACTAAATTGTTACTTCAACCGCTTACACTTTTTTTTTACTTCTGCACACAGATGGTTTGTAAAACGACAAATGTAATACCTTATTTTTTACGCTAATTTCTAAACCAATACCAGGGGGTTTATTTACAGAATATCCGAAATAATAATATATAGATACTTACACAACGAAGTAAACAACATGTTTTCACCCCGGAAGAAGTTCTGTTACTGTCGTGGTTAGACTTTTTTGTCGGTTTCGTTACCAACTAATTCATGGCCGACGGATTAAATTTGTTATTTAAAACAATTGATAAAGCAACCTTGTTGTTTGCAGTTTTAGAAATTTAACCATTTTAAGTTTTAGCAAAATAACGAATGGATAAACGCTAAGTGAAATAAATTATTTACAGAACGACTTCTACGAATAATTGTTTAATTTTGTGCAGCCAGAGCTAAGAATGTGTTGCAAACAAACATAAATCAATTTACAACGAAGGTTAGCTGTTGCTTGTTGAAAACTAGAAAAACCAAGTTTTGACATGATTTCTTTCATCTCATAGGAATATTTGAAATAAAATACAGCTGCGTCAAGTCATGTACCTCATCGTGTAATGACAGGTTTAGGAGGCAATGGTATATCTGGTAGTGTATCTTTATATATTTGTACTCTTAAAGGAGCCTTAATAAAACCCTTTTTCATATTATTAATTGATTCTTTTATCAATGGAAATTGATTTGGTACTTCTTCCGCTAGAAACATATTTGTTTATTTGGTTCTCTTAGACTTTAGTCTAAGGGCTGAAAATATATTTTAAAAAACTTACTGCTTTGCCGCAAGGTTTCCAAAAAACACCATCTCCACCTAGAACCAACTCCGAATCCATGATGATAGTTTGGAAGACATTTTTTTAATTTTTCGTAATATCACTGCTCTGTCGCCAAGTTCGTAGACGAATGATGAATGAATTTGGTTTTCCATATTTTCCAACTGCTCGTTATTTAAATACATTTCCAGAACTATCCATATTTACAACATCCGACTTATACGTTGTTAAGGGTCCCCAGTCGTCGCCCTCAAAATCGGTTCCAGTGAGAAGAATTATTTTTTGTAACTATGGAACCCAAAGTACCGACTCATCGCAGGTACCGATCCAAAAACACGAGAGATTATGGTCACTGTAGGGAGTCCGTCATAAAATGCAAATCGGTAAACAACACCAGATAAGCTTATTTATTTTCAAATGAAAGGTACAGGGAAATAACCACCGAAATCCATTTGTATGTATTTTGAAAGAAATTGAATTGAAAGTTTAAAATGCTGCTGAAAATAGATTGAGAAACCCACAAGGTTCAGTCTAATACAACTTTTTATTATCTTTATCATGTTTTAAAAATATATAAAATAAACTGTTTATGTTCAAATATAACAGCAAAAAAATTGGTGGAAAGTTGTTTCGACAGAACTTCCCTAGCACCTAAAATACAATGAAACATATCCAGCATTTTCGAGTTAAATTTTTACTTTAGGTACACAATTTTGTAATGAAATCATCAACATTTTGCAAGGACACGTAAATCAATGTGGATTAGACTAAAAATAACAGTATTCCGAAAATTTCTGGGAAAATGAAGTGAGTCGTTCCTGATTTAATCATCAATAGAATAAATTGATTCATTCATTAATTTTTTTAAGCCACCTAGGTATATAAGCAAATCTAAAAAATATGAATGCAATGATAAATTACAAGTAAAAACTTATCATATTTTGCACATTTTTAGTAGAATTTAATATATAATATATATGATCCTGAACTTGTGGTTTATAAATACATTATTGAGATTTTTCGGCTTTTCGGTTTTTCGATTTTTCAACTTTTGATGTTTCAATTTTTCAATATTTCAATTTTTGACATTTTCAATTTTTCCATTCTTCAAATTTTCGATTTCTCCATTTTTTTATTTTTCGATTTCTCAATTGTCCGATGTTTCAATGATACGATCTTGCAATTTTTTAACTTTTCGATATTTTAATTTTTCAATTTTAAAAATTCTAGATTTTTCGATTTCTCGAGTTTTCAGTTCTTCTATGCATATTTCAGTTTTTCAATTTTCGGAATTTATTAAATTTCTGATTTTCCATTTTTACTTCCCGAGCGTAAGCAAAGGAAGTATTGTAATCGAGTCCGGCGGCCGACTCTCTACTTTTACATTTTCTCGATCTTTCATGACCACTAGAAGACTGTCTGTCCGTCTGTCCGTCTGTCTGCCGTCCCGGATTTTTATTAGACAGATAATCTCCTAAAGTACTGGACCGATTGTCGTGAAATTTTGTACTTATATTAGGAATATCATGTAGATGGTAAAACGCTAACCAAAACTTGTCTAGTCATCCCCACCATTAATGCGATGACGTCACTTCAAAATTGTACATAGTAAATGGGTCTTAAATTGTATAAAATAACATAGTCCTACACATGTAGTTTACGACTCCGAATTGAATTTTTACCCGAAACGTCCAGATTTTTGGACAAAAAATTCAAAATTATAAAACAACATTTTGCAATTTAATTTTGAATTTACTAACCCGAATGTTTTGAAATGTTGCAGATGTTTTAAGGCTCTAAAGAGAATCATAAATCTTTAGTCAAAATATATTTGGTTATCCCCTCCAAAAACTTGATGACGTCAGCTCAAAAGTTTGGCGAATAAATCCTTTCTAAAATGTACAAAATGTGATGCGTCTGTACTTGTGATATATCACCACATTCATTTTTTTTTTGCATATACAGGGTGACTCAAAAAATTAATGAATGCGCAAAATTTATTTTACTGATTTACTCAGGAACTACAAAACCGAATGCTTTGAAGTCTTGAAGATGTTTAAAAATTATCATAAGCATGGTAAATTTTTGATCAAAATGTATTTGGTCGCCCCCCCTAAAAAAATTATGACGTCACCACAAAATTTTGCTGAATAAATCCTATCTAAAATGTACAAAATATGGTGAGTCTCTTCTTGTGGTTTATCACTACATTCAAATTTTTTCGATTTGGATATACAGGGTGACTCAAAAAAATTAATGAATGCGTGAATTTATTTTACTGATTTACTCAAGAACTACAAAACCGAATGCTTTGAAATCTTGAAGATGTTCTGAAGTTATCATAAGCATGGTAAGTTTTTGATCAAAATGTATTTGCTCATCCCCCTTAAAAAATGTATGACGTCACCACAATATTTAGCTGAATAAATCCTATCTAAAATGTACCAAATATGATGAGTCTCTTCTTGTGATTTATCATTCCATTCATACTTTTTGGATTTGCACATACAGGGTGACTCAAAAAAATTAACGGATTTGTAAATGTATTTTATTGATTTAAGCAGGAACTACAGAACCGAATGTTTTGAAATCTGGCAGATGTTTTAAGGGTATAAAGAGCATAATAAATTTTTAGTCAAAATATATTTGGTTATCTTCTCCAAAAAACTGACGACGTCAGTTCAAAAGTTTGCCGAATAAAACCTATCTATAGTATACAAAATATGATGGGTCTGTACTTGTAATTTACCATTCCATTCCTATTTTTTGAATTTGCATATACCGGGAACTAATAAATACGTAAATTTATTTTATTGATTTACTCAGGAACTACAAAACCGAATGCTTTGAAATCTACTGCGAAAAAAAAACATAATAGGCATGTAGTCGTCACGTTTCCGACAGCGAGGAAAGTACTGTCTAAACTCTTTAGACCGTTTTTTTTTTTAATTTTTCGATTTTCCAGTTTTTCGATGTTTCGATTTTTCAGTTATACGATAGTTCAATTTTTCGATTTTTAAATTTTAGATTTTCCAATTTTTATTTTTTTGATTTTTTCATGTTTCGACTATTTATTATTCCTAAAAATAAAAGTAAAAAATAACTACCAAAATTGTGATTAAAAATATGTAAAAATTAATAGAAAATAGAACACATTGCTGCTAGACCATAAAAATAACTATACTTTCCCAAAAAAATCTATTGCATGATTACTGTTCCACTAGTATTGCTAACCGTTCTCTTTCAAGGAAGTCACTTATATAGAAATACGGGATATTGTTTCCTCACTTAAAAATAGCAGTAGCTATGACATATTTGGGCTAAACACACCACTAGTAAAAAATATCTTAAATATAATTGTTATTCCCTTAACAAAATTAATAAATCATTCTATTAAAGAAAACATATTCCCTGACACCTTAAAGGAAGCCTTGGTGGTACCAATTTTTAAAAAAGGAAACCCAAACGAAGTATCTAACTATCGGCCCATTGCGCTACTTCCAATCTTTTCAAAAGTAATGGAGAAATGCCTGACGAAACAAATAACAGAATACCTGGAAGAAAATAATATGTTTAGTTCGTCTCAATACGGGTTTCGCAAAACACGAAATACCATAACCGCTATCTCAAGCTTAGTAAACAATATACTAGAGACATTTGAAAATCGGGAATTCATGTGTACCACCTTCTGTGACCTAAGTAAAGCTTTCGATTGTGTCTCGCTGATATTCTGCTTAAGAAAATAAGGAAATATAACTTTTCAGAAAACAGTATTAAACTACTATCTAGCTACTTGACCAATAGACATCAGACGGTTAAAATCGAAAATGAACTATCATCTAGGCGAGAAATAAAAAATGGAGTACCTCAGGGGTCTGTTTTAGGACCTCTACTATTCCTAATCTATGTTAATGATCTCCCTGACATTGCAAATCGTGAAAAATATATATTATTTGCAGACGACACAACTATATATTGTAAAGATATCAATCTTAATGAAGCTAAGCAAGAAATGTGCGAGATACAA